AAACCCTTTAACCCTTTAACCCCAAAGCCCAAAGCCTAAACCCTAAACCCTAAAACCCTAAACCCTTTAACCCCAAAGCCCAAAGCCTAAACCCTAAAGGCCCCGAGAGCACTGAAGCTTGCCTCGAGCCGCCGGTTGCAAGTCACGGTCCTTACCAGCTGCTTTAAATGGGTTCGAGGCTCGAGGTTTCAAGGCCTCGGGCTCAGGGTTTCGGGTTTCGGGTTTAGGGCTTGGGGTTTAGGGTTTGGGGTTTGGGGTTTAGGGTTTAGGGGTTTAGGGTTTAGGGTTTAGAGCTCAGGGTTTCGGGTTTAGGGCTTATGGCTTCAGGGTTTTGGGCTTTGGTCTAGATTTCAGAGGTGTAAAGTTTTGGGCTTCAGATATAATGTTTGGGCTTAGACTTCTATGTCCTTCCAAGGCTTTGTTGATGGAGGGGCCTTAATAATTGCAATAGGGCTTTGGGGCCCATTATACTTACACGTGTCGGGTTTCGTGCTTTTCGTTCCGAGCTTTTCCTTGGGGCTGGGATGGAGGGATTTAAGCTTTAAGGCTTGCAGTAGGCTGAAGGTTTCTGGTTTCTGGTTTAGGGATTAGCGTTTAGGGGTTAGGGTTTAGGGGTTAGGGGTTTAGGATTCAAGGGTTTAGGTTTAGGGTTTAAGCGCCTAGGGTGTAAGGTTTAGGCTTTAGGGTTTGCCATGGATTAGCCAGTAGGCGACAGTATCTTGCGACAAGGCTGTCTCGAGTGCATCGTACTATGATGGGCTGTGAAAGCCAACGCTTTATGAAGCCAACAATCAGGATGCCCAGGCTCCCTGTTTGGTATTGGGTACAACCTTTATAAGGAACCTAAAAGATCAAAAAGGAAAAAAGGGCCCACTGGGAGAACTCTGAAACACCTGCTGAAAAAAAAAACTTGCAGAGCCCGTCTGATGGGACTTAGGGTCTTGCCCCAACCCCTCTCTTAACTAGTATAGGGGCCTTTCTAACTAGAACACGGTTTAGGAAATGCTATAGCATAAATGTTCCGAAGCCTCAGAAATCGTACTGGAATTGGTAATCATGCAGGCTTCCAAAAGCTGAAACCTGTAGGTTTGTTTTTCTCTTCTTGGTCAGCATATACACCTTAAACAGGTTTCAGTCAGGGTTTAGGAGTTTAGGGAGGGGTTTTAGAGTTCAGGGCTGAGGCACGCCAGGCCAACATAACTACATCCGAGAAGGTACTGAAACTACCCAAAACCCTAAACCCTGAAAACTTCAAGAAACCCCATAGGAGTAGCTCGAGCAAGGCCCTGCAGACAAGAGGCACGGCCACGAACTCAGCCGACACATTTGCAGTCTGCCGGCGGGCGAGGTTTGAGGGATTTGGCGAAAAGCAGAAAACCCAAAGCCCAAAGCCCAAACCAAAACCCTAAATCCTAAACC